AATTATCAGCTGGATAGTACAAATTTCAAGGTTGAAGATGGCAAGAGTTTTCTGGTTGCTGGATTCCTATTTTCCGATGACTTCCCAATTTGGGGATATGCTCAAACATAAACCAAATTGGATGAAATTTGGTGCAAAACGATTGTGACAATGTCTCATTTAATTTGTGATCAAAATGAGGTCTTGGAACATCGTGGATTGCACCGGATCGGTGGCCGAAGTTTATGTACTTGGCCAGATTTTTGTCCCTTCATGAAAAATCTGTTTCAAGACGATCAAAGGAAATCAAAATATTCAGAGCGGATCAAGCATCAATTCTACGACGATGGATCATCCAAATCACTACCACAAGAGTCTAAAAAAGCTTTCAAAGTCTAGCAATGGCAAGAGGCCCCTCATGGAGTGATTATTTTGTCATTTGCTCAAAAGAACTAAGGGGTATTTTGATAATTTTCTTCAAAAAAGGAATTTATTTTAATTTCATCAAATTATAATTTTCCACAATTTTGCTTAGTTTTGAGCAAGCCACTATTGTTTTGTGGATTGCTCATTTGTAAACCTAAGTTGGGAAGCATAATAAAAATTAAGGTTTTGCCTCTTCAAGCCTTGGATTGTGCAAAGCTCCCAACTTCAAGAGAGAGGAAAGAGAAAACATTACCACCTTTGGTAATTGCCCATGGACCACCCACACCCTAAAACTTTTAGCTTTCATACACCCTAGAAGCTCTAACTTCTAATAGTATTCCATACACCATCACCCTAGCCCACATCGTAGTCCATACACCCTAACCTTGACCCAAACCTAGCCCTCTCTCTCTCTCGTTCTCTCCCTTATTTCTTTCCCTCTCTCCTATCCCCTATCCGTTGGCACACACCTAGGAGTGTGCACATCATCACCTCTCTCCTCTTCATTAAAATCTCAAGCTTGCACCTAGGAGCGTACACATCATCACCCTCTCTCATCTTCGTCATTATCACAAGTGCACGCCTTCCATTTTACAGTTTTCTCACTATTTGTTGGTCCATTCTTTCTCTCTTCTCCCTTTCTCTCTCTTCCCTTTTTGTCTCCCCCTACCGTGTACACGCATGATCTTCCTCTTTTCCCTCCATCCGCACTATCCTTTTTATTTATCTCCCCTTACCACGTCCGCACATGCAGTCGCCTCTTTTCTCTCCACCCACGCTCATTTCCCACTTTTCTCTCCACCCGCGCTCATCTCCCACTTTTCTCTCCACCTGCACTCATGTCCTTCTCTTCTCTCTTAGTTGTCTACTCTCTCTCCTCACACAACCATTCTCCCTCTTAGTTGTCCATCCTCTCTCTCTTATGCAACTATTTCCTCACCCTCACTCCACTTTCCTCTCTCTCTTACACATGTGTATCCCCCTCTCTCCCACACCATTATTTTCTCTCCCTCCTACCTGTTCAATCTCTCTTTCTCTCTCCAAATCCTTTCTTTCTCTTAACTCTCCCAACCATCTTTATCAACTCTCTAAATCATCTCTATCTAATTCAACTCTCCCAACCCCTTGAATATGCCCCTCTCATCTCACATATCTCTTTCTCTCTCTTCCCTCCACACCACTTTTCTCTCTTCCTTTTCCTCTCAAACCTCTTTTCTCTCTTCTCTCTCACACACCTCTCTCTTCTCCCTCACGCAAATCTTCTCTCTCCTTTCCCTCATATATTTCTCTATTCTCCCTCACACATCTCTCTCTCTCCTCCACACGACTCTTCTCCCATCGTTTCTCTCTCAAATCTCTCTCTCCCTTACATGTCTATCTCCCCTTCTCTCAAGTCTCTCTCCCTCTTTTACACGCAGTGTTCGCAAAACCGACCGATCTAACCGCTAACCGACCAGTTAGATCAGAACTGAACAGTGGCCAGTTCCGATTTTGGGCGGTTTTGGTGATCAAGCGATATTTTAAATTTTAAATTAAATACTACAAATTTATATCAAATACATTAGAATTGTTTACTGTTTAGCTTTGATGGTTAAGTTTTATATGAATCATGGTTTGAATCCCGCGGCCAGTTTCTTTTAAGAATTCATTTCGTTGGTTCAAAAAAATTACTTGCCCATTGGTCTTTTAAGAATTCATTTCGTTGGTTCAAATTTTTTTTTCGTTGGTTCCAAAAAATTACTTGCCCATTGAAATTGAACTAGAATTCAAGAATTCATTTCGTTGGTTCAAAAAAATTACTTGCCCATTGGAATTGAACTAGAATTTAAGAATTCATTTCGTTGGTTCAAAAAAATTACTTGCTCATTGGAATTGAACTAGAATCCTCTCTTAAAGACCCACTAAACCAATACACCATTTACTACTTAGTTGATAAAAAAAACGGCTATATTATATATAACTTAATTTTTTCTTCATTTTCTTTTAAAAAAAGAGTTGGTCATGTCGATTTTTTTAACACTATTTTAATATTCTTTACATTATGGTAAAGATTAAAAAAAAAAATGGTCATTGATACTCACTTTTATATTTTCCCATATTTTTCAAAAAAATTTAAAAATACCCCTAGACACAAATCGATTCGTTAAAATCCATTTTTTCATTAAATTTCAACTTCATTTGAGTGTGTTTTGTTTTAATCACATTCTTTATACGCTTTTCATATTTTAGTAGATTTTTTTTATATCTTTTTTATTGTTTTCAACATTTTTTTTTATCGTTCGGAACTTGCCCAGTTAGAGCGATTGAATCGGCCGGTTTACTAGTTAGGGCGGTTAAATCATTTTGGGCCCATGTTCAGTTAACCGTTTCGATTCGATTTTGCGAACACTGCTTACACGTGAGTCACACTCACACACTTACACTTACTTTCACTCATGCACACTCACATCACACGCTCTAACTCTCACTCACACTCACACACTTACACACACTCACATTCACACACTCTCACTCACACACTTACACACACTCACATTCACACACTCTCACTTACACACTTACACACACTCACATTCACACACTCTCACTCACACACTTACACACACTCACATTCACACACTCTCACTGACACACTCACTTCACTCTCTATCATACACTCCTGTCTCCACTCTCTTACGCACCCCTTACACACACTCACTCACACACTCACTTCACTCTCTACCATACACTCCTATCTCCACTCTCTTACGCACGCCTTTCATACATATCCATTCACACTTCACCCATTATAACCTACACTGTTTAAACACACTCTAATCTGCACAACTCCTCTATTCTTTTGTTTTGGTAGTTTCTTCTATTCTTCGTGTGTCCAACTTGGTGCTCCACTTAAAGCTATTTTAAGGGTTTTAACTCTCGGACAGCTGCTTTAACTTCCTCTCCGTACAGTCGAGTTGAGTTGTGATAGACCCATACGCCCTGTCCCTCAATCACTCGAGAGGACTCATCTTGAGTTAGCAATCCATAGAGTTCTGACTCTTTGATTGCTCTAATCGCTAAGTCTTGTCACACTCGAGAGGTAAAGAACTTCCATCACCCCTTTAGCCTTTGGTCCACCATATATTACTAATAGGAGGAGACCCCAAAAAGTATACCCTGAATGCCATTTTTAGTGTGTGGATCCAAGTGCTACGTAGGAAAGTCAGAGGGCTTTTGAGATGATCTAAGAGGGCGAATTGCCCGGACGTGTCCCCCGATTCCAACATGACAAGGTAGGTGCTCGATCCCTTCTGTATCAATTAAAATCTCTCTATTTGTTGGTTTCTATCCGCAGCTTAAGCACACATGCACACACGCACGTGGGCCTCGTTCTTGTTTGAGAGAGAATTCCTTCGATCGGGTCACCTGGGCTGACCTGGGACGACGAGAAATCATATCCAACCAATGGTATGGATACCATGGGTTAGTTTTTATGGTACTTAAAGTACCGTAATGGTGCTTCACGATAATACGACTACCATGAAAGTTATTTTGGTAAAAGAAACTCAAAATTGACAAAAAAAAAATGTGTGGCCGAGGTTTATGAAAGTTGAAAGTTTTTTTCTAAATAGACAAATTAAAATAGTTTTATGATAATTTCTCATATTTTTTTGGTGAGATAATAGGGAGAAGGCCTAGTGTTGCAAATCGTCCCGCGCTAACCAATTAAGCCCAAGCTCTTATCCTAAATTAATTTTGAAGTTGGCGGTGCCCCATACATGGGCACAAGTCACCATGACGGGTGCATAAGCGCACTAACTAACAACAATACACTCGTGCATAATAAAAACATAGGGAAAAATACAAAAAACACCCTAAAATGGACTATCTATGCAACTTACCCGCACCCCAATCTTTTTTCTTACTTTTTTTCCCCAAAACTACCTTTCCTCGCAAAACCCCCCCAAAGTAAAAAGTTTTTATTTTTTGGATAGAAATGGCCTTCCTATACAAATCAAATCAATTCGTGGGTCCCAAGTACCGTACTGTCGGAGCGTGTCTTTGCACTGCTGGAGCATATTCTCATAATATCGAAATGCTGTGGCTCAGACCTGCATTGCCGGAGCACACATTCAATATGCCGGAGCGCTTGTTTATACTGTCAGAGCGCGATCTTCCATGGCCGGAGCGCGTGTGGCTCCAAAGACTTCATTGCTAGAGCGCAATGCCAAAGCGCATCTTTGCACTTTCAGAGTGAGTTCTCATAATACCGGAGCGCTGCGGTGCATACCTGTATTGCCGAAGCGCACATTCAGAATGCTGGAACGTGTGTTTGTACTGTCGAAGCGCATGTGAAAACAGGAAAAAGAAGGCCGTGTGAAAACAAACAAGAGTAGTTTAGTCTTATTTCATGCTACTTTTGGGTTGAGGGTTATTTACCAGGAAAGGTTGTTTAAGGAAAAAAGTGAGAAAAAGATATAGGATAGGGTAAGTTGCATAGATAGTCCATTTTAAGGTGTTTTTGTTTTATTTTGTTTTGTTTTTTTTTTTTGTTAGTAATTTCCCCTAAAACATACCCCCTAGTGGCTTCTTCACTTTATCATGGATCCCGGCACTCCTTTCCTCCATAAGTAACCGCTCCTGTCACCCTGCACTCCTTCCGCCTCCATAAGTAACCGCTTGTTGTTTATTACAATAAAGATTGGTTAGAGCCTCTGTACAAGAGTGCTTCTTTGAAAACCATGGCTTCCCCTGATCCTGAAGATGACTGAGGATTCTGAGGATGATGAAATCGCTTGCATGTCGACGGAGGACATTATCCACAACTCTCGAGTTCTTGATAGGGAAATGCGCGTCTTTGAGGTATGCCCTCTCTCTCTTTCTCTTTTCTTGGTCTAGAATAGCGTAAACCCTAAACAAGTATTTAGGGTTACTTATTGGTCTTCTTCTGCATCAAAGGATGAGTTGCAGAGAACGAACCTAGTGTTGGAGACATTCAAGGGAATGATAAAGGTGAAACAGAAGAAGATCAAGGTCCACATGCATCTCCCATACTTAGTTGCTTACATAGTCGAGGTATTAATGGATCTCTTGTCATATTTGAACTGATTTCTACTGACTCTGTTTTTACCTCATCAATGTTTTTTTTCCGCATTTTGGGGAGATTCAGCGTTTTTTATGGTGTCATTTTGTCCGGAAGTATGATTTCTCTTTCTTAACTTTAGCAATCCGCATGATCATGTGGAGTTTTGATTGATGTGTCACTTCACGGCACATGGCTGGTTTTTTTTAACATTCCCTGCTGGATTAAAGTTGATCTGATTCTTATTACTAAAGCAGAAAAGGATAAAGTTGATGTGGTTCTTTAAACTGAGTAAGTTATGTGTTCATTGAATTAAGGATATGTGGTCTTTTAAAACTGATCCTTCTCCTTTTTATTGTCAAATACTCAAACCTATGTGCAAGTTCACTGAATAGCCATGTTGATGCAAGAATTTGTTCTTGTATTAATACGGTTTTATATGTGAAGTGTTGGTAGGCTTGTGAAGAATACTGTGCCCGTGCTTGTCTAATACCATGTTTACCTGTTTGAATTCCTTTAAGGAGTGTAGATAGGTTAGTCATAATCCATTCACATGCATTCACCTGTGTAGTTTAAAGCTTCTTAGACTTTTGGGAGCTAAAAAATTGGTGATCAATAAATTATTCTACGAAACAATAACTATTTTTGATGAACAAATCATTAATGTCCAACTTAGGAATTAGGCTTGGATCGCCCATGCTATCACCTTGAGTCCATTTGTGACTTGGGTGAGTTGGTTCTTTATGTCATAATCCTAATTAACTTTAAGTTAGTTAAACGAAAACATGTAGAGTAAGAAGATAATGCTGAAAATCCTGTAAGTTCAAGGAGTTGGGGAAAAAAAAAAAGAAAGGTTCATGGAATAATATAAGTGAGTTTCTCGCAAGCTACAACAAGCATCTAGAAACAGTGTCCAGTTTGGGTCTTTCCTGATAGTCAAACTAAGCAGATTTGGTAGGTATTATTCAAGTGGCCTGTCACCATGCTATTGAGTGGCTCGGGTAGGTCGCGAATGACCTGCTTTTACTTCCCACTTGAAACCTTGGGCCCCATTATGAAGTTTATAGAAGTCATAGGCGATGAGGAATCCTGACAATGTTCCTTTTCTCGTTTATGCACAATATAAGGCTTCTGCTTTAGATTCATTGAAACCGATCCTCCAAAGGCTAAAAGAATTTGTTGGAGTGTTACTATAGAAGCAATGGATGAACACGTTATATTATTAACAGCTAGTTTAGTTTATCCAAAATGAAGTTTTACTGCTTCTAATATGTTTGTGAACTACATATGTTGGAATATGTGATATGCATGTTAATTTTGCCCCCCACAAGTATAACGAATTTCAACATGATGTAATGACTTCTATGTTACAGTTAATAGATTAATGTAGCTAGAAGGGTGGATGTTCTAAGATTAATTGTATTCAGAAACAAGCATACATGTAAGATCGTGATAGGACACTCCTTGCAGGAACCTTTTATGTTTAGTTGCTGTTATTCTTCGTATTTTATTTGCTTTGAATATTGGTAGCAATGATATTTTTGGGAACAGTAACATATTTTAGCTGTTCATATCAGCGCATATTGATATTTGAAACTTTGAACACTGATAGATAACCCCACCATGCAGAAAAATAATGATGAAATGGGGAACCTACAACTATGAATCTTTTTGTCATGTTCTCGTATTTTTACTCAATTATGAAGAGAAAATGTGAAGCAATTAAATTTTAGGAAACCTGTAAATATCTCCGGAAACCTGCAAATATCTCTCCCTGCACTTTTCTGCCTCTAGATGGTGATAGGCCTTGTGCATTTATGCTGCAGGTGTTTGTATGTGCCATAACAAATCACGGATACAGTTTTTTTTATATAAATTTTGTACTTGCACCTTACATTTATAGATTTTGTTTGGACATGGAAATTTGAAGATGCTTACCATCAGAAATAGTAATTTGAGTATACTTCATACCAGCTTTATCTTTTGGGTTTGGTTGCTGTAAGGTTGCAACCTTAAACAATCCAATTAAGGCGCACCTCCAAAATTTATCTTTATATGTAATTTTTGTGTAAAACATTCTTAGGATTATTTGAAAGTCTATTTTTATCACTAATTATAAAATTTAAACTTTAAAAATGGTTAAAATCAAGTAGATCTATAAACATATGAAAATCTTGAAATTGGACTGTCTATATAATGTGTTGCAAGGTGCACTATTTATGGGACTCAAATTCTTTTTTTTTTCATATTCATATATCTTGATGTCGAGATGACCAATTAGAGGGTTTTTTAACATTAAAATAACATTTTTCTGATGGATGTTTGAGGTGCATCTTTAATTCTACATTTTAAGGTTGCAACCTTATATAAAATTTTTCCTTATCTTTTTTAGATTATGGAAATGAATATGGAGGATGATGCTGAAGAGGAAGGTGCGAATGTTGATCTAGATTCCCAAAGGAAGAGAAAGTGTGTTGTGCTTAAAACATCTACACGTAAGGTCTGCAACATTAAATCTTGTGCAACGTTAAATTTATGGTTGCTTTGCAGTTGATGGCTCTGCTACCATGTTCCTTTATTTTTTGGTGTGTTTTACTGGGCTCTTGATGCTAATGTTGATGCCAATATACTATTGTGGCTTTTGTTGGGTTTTGATTTCAGGCATTCAGGAAGTATAGGTTTATTTTGCATGTGGTGCTTCATTCAATTTTGGAATTTATAGCATGTATATTGATTTATTTTTTATGGATTTACAGGCCTAATTAAAATTATATGTTGATTTATTGTCTTTCGAGTACGGATGCAAGTTGAAACTATGAAGAAAAAGTTTGCTTAAATGATTGTGTAATTGTAGGCCTGGCAATGGGCTTAGTGGTCTGGCCCTAAAAAGCTAGGGCCTGGGCCTAGGCTGAGGCCCCAACAGGGAAGAGGGGGTTAGACTTGTCCTGACCATTTTTTGCTTTTTCATTTTATTTTCTCCCGGATTGTATTTGGCCTGCCTGGCCCTAACCTGGCAGGGTTAGACTCGGTTCGGGCTGGGGCTGGCCCGACACATTGCCAGCCCTATAACTGATTGCAAATGTTACTTGAAGCAAATCTTTCTTTGTGCTTTTCTTTAGTTTTTCTTTATCCGCTTAAAAAACTTTGATACTATTTTGTATGTGACTGAAAACTTCAAAGCTTTTAATGGTTGATTGCTTGATTGCAGACCATATTTTTGCCTTTTGTTGCGCTCGTAGATCCTGACAAGCTTAAACCTGGTGATTTAGTTGGGGTGAATAAAAACAGTTACCTGATAATCTGAGTATGATTTGCGTGTTAAGGCCATGGAAGTTGATGAAAAGCCTACTGAAGATTACAATGACATAGGAGGTCTTGAGAAGCAGGTGGGTTCAGTTGTTTCACGTTTCTCGGGGACTGTAATGCTTGGTTTTTTTGGGAAGTGTGATGCTAGGAATTTCTTTTTTCTTGCCTCCCTCAATGGACTAGGTTTCTATGTTTTGAACCTCAGATAATTCTCCTTACTCTTATGGGAATGAAACAATTACCTTGATGTGTGTTACTTAGTCATTAATTATTAGATGGTTGCAGTGGATTACAAGCAACTGCCAATGGGCTGATATCATTGAAATGCCTAGATGGCTGTTTTCCTCCAATATCACTTTCAACGCATCTTTTTTATTTATAAAAGAAATGTCTTCATTTTTCTTTGGTGTAGTTAGTTTTGGCCTATTTCTGAGTGGTACAAAACATGATTTGTTCTGGCAGATTCAAGAATTTGCCGAGGCTATTGTTGTCCCTATAACCCACAAGGAAAGGTTTCAGAAATTAGGAGTTCGTCCTCCCAAAGGAGTTCTTCTCTATGGACCTCCTGGAACAGGCAAAACTCTAATGGCACGTGCATGTGCTGCTCAGATCAATGCTACTTTTTTGAAGCTTGCAGGTCCCCAATTAGTTCAGGTAAATTTTTTTGGTTTATGTTTGCTGATGTTGCTTTCTAGTCTTAAATAGTATACTTTGTTGATTTGCTTACTGTATTCAGATGACCTATATGCTTTCCAGCTTACACTTCGTTTATCGTCTGAAGGAGAATTCGTTGATTTATTACATAATGTGATTGTGAATGTGTGCTGGTTTAAAATACATGCCACATTCTCTATCTTTGGTTTCTCATTAGTCTTTGGTTCTTTAGCACTTGGTCCTGAGGAATTCTTGATAGTTTTCAAGATTGTCAAGCCCTTCTACTATATGAGAGTGGAAATCATGAGCTGCAATATAAATCACTACTTGGATTGGACCTATCATGTCTAATTTAAGGGAATATGATTAAAGTGGATAGATTTGAAGGGCTTATGGGACTTTTGGAATTGGCAAAATTTGAGAGTCTTGCATAATTGAATATTTCTCATTGAGTCGGGTGTGCATGATGTGTCTCACGTACACTAGGCGCGTTTGGTTTGCGTGAAATTGTTTTCTAGAAAACATTTTCACATAAAATATTTTCTCATGTGGTTAAGTGTGGGAATATTTTCATACCAATTTGTCTTAGTGCATTGTTTCACACCAATTGGCAACTAACCAATTTGTCTTAGTGCATTGTTTCACACCAATTGGCAACTAATTGATGTAAAAATATTTCCACACTTAAACACATGAGAGAATTTTTTCATATGAACATGTTTTCCGGAAAACAATTTCACTCGAACCGAACGTGCCATAAGTGGCAATCGTTCCCAATTGAGAGAGTTCACCTCAGTAGTGGGTATCATTGTGAATGGGGAGTGCACTTTGGTAGTCAGATAGTCGGATACTTAGAGAAGTTTGAAGTTTTGTTCTCATTGAGGGTACTGAAAAAATTGTAAGTAGGACTGGTGTGCCTACCTTGTGGTCAACACTCATTCATGGCGATTTGTTCCACTTCTTTCATGCCTGGTCCAACTACTCACATTTCTTGCTTGACAATTGTCATTTGTGAATTTCTTGGTTTGTGCTGTAAGTGGTTCCATTTTCTCAATCAATGACAATATAGGATGTAAATTTTCATTCTCTTTAAATCGAAAGGAAAAAAAATACCATAGAAGCCTACTCTCAATGAAGTTATGGAATAAAAGGAGTGGCATCAATGTCAAATGAACCTTTGAATTCTCTCGTCATATTTTGAGTTCACGTATCCTGATATGTATGATATCTATTTTCTTACCTTAAGGGTATGTTTGTTTCAGTTCAATGAAATTAGCCTCTTTTCCCAAGTTTATGAAATGGGAAAGTGGCTCCACTCAAATTTGGAAATATGAGCATGCAAAAGTTCCACTATAAAAATTAGTGGCCTTTCATGAGAAATCTATTCATTTTCACTTTTATTCCTCTCCCCTCTTTCTACTTCTCTCTGTACTATCTCCCCTTACTATCTTTATCTCCTCCCAGCTCTGACTCCTCTCTTTTCTATCTCTTCATGTCTCTTTTCTCACTCCTCCATCTCCTTACCCTTCCTCTCTTCTCTCTTTCTTACCCTAAACTTCTCTCTTTACATACCCTTACAATTTCTGTCCTCTCTCACTCTCCTGCACCCCTTGTTCTTCTTTTTTGTAAGAAAGGGTTTTTGTGTTTTATTGTATGTTTCTGAGCACCCAACTTGTGGGATGCCATCACCCACACCTTGTGGGTTTTGTAAACATATTTTACTATCTAATACATATTGTCACATTTTACCTAAAAACAAAAAAGAGATATGTCTCAGTCGATTTATTTCCTGATATAGATTTCATAATTAATAAACGTGCCCTGGATTTCTATGCCCTGATAAAAGTGAATGTTAATGGTAGTTATCCTGTTCATTCTAGTTCCATTACTCACATTATTGTTTGGTGCTTTTCTAGTCTTCTGGCCCACAAGGATACCGTAATTGCCACATCATGCATGCTTTCTACTGTTTGGAAGGACATTGTTGTGACTATTTTTTCCTGTCGGACGATTCTCTTTTTTCTATCAGATGGCTTCCATTTGAATTGGAAATTGCCTTTTTTCTGCATGCGCATGTAGTCGGTATCTCCGGGTTGTTGAATTATGCATGCATTACGTATCTCCAGCCATAAACAAATTTGATGCAATTATTATCATTATGAAAGGGATTGCCACCAATTTGATGCAATTATTATCGTTATGAAAGGGATTGCCACCCCTTTGTACTATTGAGCGAGGTGTGCTCAATTTTGTTGCACCCCGTCAAATAAAAAAGAGACCTTGCACATAGGCTTAACAATTATAGCAAAATTAGCTGCCAAAAAAGAAAAGGAACACTATTGGCATCTTTGTGAAACTCTGATGTTTGCCGACTTTTTTAGAGTGGGTAAGTAGTTTTTTAGCGTATTTAATTTATGTCATTACACTTTTCATTACACTTTTTAAATGCTTCTTGCTTTCCCTAAATCTAGCTAAAGATAGACTTCTTTATTTATCTTTTACTTCTGCTCGTGAAACTCATGATCCTGTGTTCTTCACTTGAATGACTTTAAAGTTTTCTGTTTGGTTCATTTAGTTGACTAAATGAAATATTCACTGGACTGTCATTAAGTTGTACGATTTTATCTATGTCGTGATTGGCACTTTGCTCCTTGATCACAATAAACATACTTGTATTCTTGCTATGTTTTGGGGTATTAGATTTGCATTGATTCGGTGGCTGTATTTTTTTATTGTTTTATAGAGCATTTCTGTCCCAAAAATCTCCTTTTCATGCCTTAGTCAATTTCCATCATTTTTCATATTAGCACTTAACAATTCATTGAGTTGTTCTACACGAACTTTAAAATTCTATCATGGGAATTTGAGACTTCATTTCATTGCAATGACTGAATAGTAAATTGTTGATGTGAAATACCTCAGAAGTTCATTGGTGATCGAGCAAATCTTGTGCGTGATGCATTTCAACTTGCTAAAGAGAAATCCCCCTGCATCATTTTCATAGATGAGATTGATGCATTTGAGACTTCATTGCATTGCAATGGGCCAATGGCTGAATAGTAAATTGTTGATGTGAAATACCTCAGAAGTTCATTGGTGATGGAGCAAAACTTGTGCGTGATGAATTTCAACTTGCAATAGGAACAAAACGATTTGACAGGTGTGTTGCTTTTGCTGTTGTTATTTGAATATTTTTATTATGGCTTGTTTAATCTTTCAAAGCTACATGCGTGTGAAGGTGATGCTTGTAGCATTATGGAATCACATTGCAATATTTATTGTAGTTTTGTCGGAAGTTGGGGAACTACACTTTTCTCTTCTATATAAATTGTGTATATTGCTTTAATTTTATTGGAACCACCCACTTCTTTGGATTGCTGTGGTTGATGGAATCTGGAAGCTGAATTTAATCGTGTAACTCTCTTTTGATATGGTTGTATTAATGCATATTCGTATCTATTTATTGTTCCAGGATGATTAATGTCCTTTTCCTTTGTGAATCATTGGAATGTGGGCTAGAATTTCATTTTTTGGAGAATATAGACACAATTAGATACAAGGGTTTTAGTACAAAGAAGTCAAGAGTATCACAGCTGAAATATGTGAATGATAAGATTGTATCCCATCGTTCTGGTTAACTGTTTCGTGCTTATGGTGAGTTTTGAGGGACAATGTCATAATACAAGATGGGTTTAGACGATGCTTGTGAGAGTGGATTCAGAGTAACTGTGTTTGTGGCTAGGCCTTTATGTGAGGAGGATCTGCTATTAGCATTGCTACATTTTTTTTGCTGGGCTTGTCCAATTAGGTTTGTGGGATTTGGAATGAAAGCTGGGAGGCATGGTTTCCTTGCATTATCTTCTATTATTTTCTTCTCCCTCTTTTAGATACTTGGGAAGCCTCTTTTTGGGCATGATTAAGTAAGATGTTTGGTGCTGCGGAGTCTATCCACCTTGTTTGGGTTTTTGTTTAGATAGTGGGGTCTGCTCTATGGAGGTGTTAAGGGGATACTCTAATTGATGTTATTTAAGGAGCCCATCTCAATATCACTTATGGTTGAGGGTGGTTCTCTCTACATCATTCACTTGGCTACAAGAGAATCTCCTTCCTCTCGGTTTTTTGATCACCCTTATAGAGAAGCCAACAAGACAACTGAAATGACTGAGGAGGGAGTAGTGGCTCAGTTTTGTACAAGTTTAGGATCAGTGCTTCAAAAAGCGCTAGGCGGCACCTAGGTGGCCATGGGGTCCAGGCCGCCCAACGCCTAAGCGGGCGCCCAGAACCTGGGCAGCCCAGTCGAAAAAAAAGAAAAAACTGATGATTGATAATAATTAATCCATAAGACCATATTCAGAAGAATTGTGATAATCCATAAGACCATAATCCCAGTTAAAAAAAAAGGATTGAAGTCCAGAAGAGAATTTTGATAATCCATAAGACCATAATTATACAATGCTAAAACAGTAAAACCATACAAGCATACATTGCTACACACAAAAGTTAGATAGTAGAACTAAATAGAAACTAAAAATAAGAAAAGGAAAATATACAGAAATTCAGAAAATATACAGTCTAGGACACAATAGTCAACACTCAACACAACAGTCAACACTTAACACCAAGAGTCTTCAGTCTTCAGTCATCATCATCGTCATTGTCATCAGAAGGAATAGGGTAAGCTTCATCATATGCATCAGATTCGAGGCTAGCATCAGCAGAGTCATCTCTTGTTTCAATATACTGCTTGTCCTCCTCTGTTGCTTCTGAATCTGCCTCTTCCTCCTCCTCCTCCTCCTTTTTTTCTACGTCCCTCTTACTAGTATGTGCAGATGAGGCCCTAGGAGTCTTTGTTTCTCTATCATTTCCTATCTTTTTGTGCTTCCCTGAACTCAAATATTGTATAATTTCCTCCCTGGTAGCCTTAAGAACATTTTTACACGGGGCAGCTTCCCCCTTAATACCGGCAAAGTGTTTTTTAAACCGGTAAATGCCCCAATTAGTATCATTTCCACAATAACTACATTTAATACGAATTTTGTCATTCGGATTCGGGTTATAACCATGCTTCCAACTCGGATCATCACTTCTAGCAGGGCCTGGAGAAGATATTTTCATAGAACAAGGCTCATTTTCATCATTTTCTAGTTTTTTTTTTAATTCAAAAGTTGTCTAATCTCATCCCCAATAGCTTCAGGAACCTTTTTACAAGAAGCAATATTCTCTTTAATACTAGCAAGGTGTTTCTTGAATTGGTTAATACCCCAATTGGTATATTTTTCACAAAAATTACACCTTATACAATTTTTATCGTTTGATTTTGGGTTATAACCATACTTCTAACACGGATCACTTCTTCTAGAAGTAGTAGAATAGATCTATTCAAATGACAAAGATTTTGTTCTTGTTTTTGTTTTACAGAACTCATATATTGTTTAATCTCCTCTCTGATAGCTTCACGAACATTTTTACAAGAGGCAACATCCCCCTTAATACCAGCAATTTTTGTCATTTGGATTTGGGTTATATACATATTTCCAACCCGGATCTCCACTTCTACTAGATCCTGAAGAAAACTTCTCAAAATAAAACAAAATTTTAAAAAAGGATTTTGCATTTACTTTTATTGCTCGAACTCCAAATTCCCACCTCTGAGATGTTTTCTGGTGCTAAAATAATAAAAAAATCCTCCAATAGGATTATAAAACTCTAAAATTAAATCAAATCTACTTGTGTGATGTTTGGATCCATTTTTCGTAACTTTGTGAAACACTTTGATCCAATGAAAATCACAAAATTTAGTATTCTTGAGGTTTCTTTATCTCTAAAATGGGTTCTTGTGGGTTTAAGTTTCAAATGAACCTAAAACCCATCCTTAAAATCCTTTATGTTTAAAAAAAAATCAATACAACGAAAAAAAAAAATTTCTGCCCCTAGGCGGGGCCGCCTAGGGCTGGATGCTGGGCGCCCGCCTAGGTGGGTTCTATATTGCCTAGGCGGCCTCCCAAGGACTGCCGCCTAGGCCTGGGCGATGTGCCTAGGCCTTCTGGACCGCCTAGGCACTGGGTGGTCCGCTTTTTTGAACAATGTTTAAGATGCTTAATAGCAATGTTGTCAGAACCAGATCAGAGAGGTAGGTCTGAACCAGGAGCTGGTGGCTATTCCAGTCTGGTTGACCATCACAACCAGCTGGTTTAATGGGATGAATCTGCTGGTCCCGATATAGATGAAAAGGGTAAACAATAACCTTTGCTTTTTCCATTTTAAACTCAAAAATGTGTTTTTTATTTTTATTTTATTTATTTATTTTAGTTTCATGAGGGGCATTTTGGTAATGAATATTAGGTTGTGTTTTGCGCATAAAAAGCACTAAGGTAGAGAAAGGATTTGGTCACTCTCTCTCTCTCTGTCAGCCAAAAAAAAGCCTCAGATTTGGGTCATTAAATAAGGTCCAAATGATCTATTCTTTGTTTTATTTATTTTGGTTTTAAATAAGGTAAGAAAATTGAAAATATTTTGTTTTTTTAGTTTTTGTAATACAAATAATGAACTTTTTCCCAAATAATTTCCATAGTTTTTTTGTTATATCCATTCTAATTTTTTTTTGGGGTATTAATAGTTAAATGTTGCGGTATAATCTTATTTTTGTGGATTTTTGTTTTTTAGTTTTTCTAATTTCTTTTTTTTTTTTGGGTGTACTCTTTTTCTTTTAATCTTTTTTGAGCTTTCCTGGATTAAATTTTGATGTGGAGTTGAGGTCTTGTGACTTTATGTTTTGACCTTTTGTCTTAAATTTAATAGCTCATTACTTCATTAGTTTGTTTTTATTGGTATCGCTTGATGGGATATTGGAGTGCATCATGAGATATGGAATTGTGGAGGACGTACGGTATGTTATAATTTTATTTTATTTGCTAATACTTTTCTTAAATTTCCGTATTTTTAAAATTTTTTGTTTTTGGACGAAAGGTGTGTTATAATTTTATTTTTGTTCCTATTACTTTTCTTAAATTTCCCTAATTTTCATTTTTTCTTTTTCTTGCTTTGTCCATATTTCTTTAGTTCTTTTCAAATTTAATGTATTTTCTGAGTTTGTTTTTTAATCTTATGACTGGTCTGAGAGCGGTAAACCTGTCCGGCGCGACGAGACTGGTTGCACTCACTGGTTCGGCCACTTTCTGGCCAGACAACAGTGACTTGTACTCCAGGATAACCCCTCTTTATTTCCCTTACAAGTGTCATGTTTCCTAATCCCTTGTCCTTCTCCCCTTATTCTCTCCCTGTTTGTATATGGTCTTCTGAGTGCAACTTCATGCACACTCTTCACTTCCAACAGAACTCTTTCTTTTAAAGAAATTATCAATGGTTTTTTCTTTAGGATGCTCTGGCCGAATTAGAACATTTTCTTTTGTACTACCATATCTTTTTGGCTAGATTTCATATCTAATGCTATTGTTCATTGTGGATGATATGGGAGATTCACAATCATATGGTAGACAGAGGAGATTGTCCGTCATCTCCTCAAGAAAAAATGGCGTCTTCTTGGGTGGTGCAGTAGACTCTGTACTGGACCCTCTTTGTTCATGAGTTAGTGTCACCTATCCAGAAACCTAAGGGTTGTGTGATATTCACTTTACCTCCTGGTGATCTTTTGGTTGACTGAGAGTTGATCTCGTATATTTATTGAGGATTTTAGGGTTTCACTTGTGGTTTATGTGCTGGCTACTATTCTTATTTTTTCAGGTAGTTGAGTTTCCATAGAATTATAAATTTGGTTGTATCTATTGGTGACATGGTATTTTTGTCACATGTAGGGGGATGAATGAGGTTACAGTCAATCCTAACTTTGATTTGTATCACTTTGAGCAGGGAAAGTTTCAAATGCTTGAGGAATTCCTAGGAGAAGATTTGGTCTAGTCAATGTTTAAAAATTCACATGGGGCTGCCAATGTTTGAAAATTCGGCAGCCCGAATGCCTAGGCAGCCGCCTAGGCAAAACAATTTGAAAAACACTTAGGTGCTGTTTGGGCAGGGTCATTATGCGCTCTGTCTCTGGGCGCCCGCCTAGGCGGGTAAGGCGCCAACTAGGCGCTACGGTCTGGGCACCTGCCTAGGCACCACCCTGTGACACTTTGCAGACAGGTGGTAAAAAACCTTCGGTGAGGCTACAAAAATGCAATTTTCCCCCCTAAAAAGGGAGAAAAGGGTCTTGAGGGGTATTCTAAACCCCCAAAACAAAAACCATGGCCTTTAGGGTGAGAAACCCCCCCCCCCCCATTAAAAAACAACTGTTTGTAATTTATCGAAAGATCGATAATTTTTTATGTTTTTTATTTCTTCTCAAAACAAAGGCAATAGTTTGTGGGTGGATTTGGAGCTTCTAGTGGTTGATTTTGAGAACTTTTGGCGACCCAATAGACTCGATTTGCACCGATATCGATTTGATTTTGATATTTTTAAAGTATTATCATATTTGGAAGAGGGTTTTGATTTTATTTTTGCTACAACATATTATGCTATGAATCATGTGTTTTTTGTTTTTTTTACAATACATTTACATGTTTGTGGTTAAAAGATTGATGTTTTTTTTGTGATGAATTGATTTTGTTCTCATTTGGATGATGAAATTGAGTATATATCGTATTCTTTTATGAATACTTGATTCCTTTTTTATGCAATGTGTCATGTTTTGATGTTAATACTTGATTCCTTTTTTATACAATGTGTCATGTTTTGATATTATATTATTTTTGTTTTACTTTATTTGATAAATAATTGATTATGTGATATCTTAATGGGTTAAGTCTTACGTGAAAGTGATACTAAGGTCTTATATATTTAGTTATTCATTTAAGTTTTATTCTAAAGTAATAGTTAATGACTTAATTCTTTAATCTTATGATTTTTACAGGTTTTTTGATTTGGTGATTGATTCTAATTCACATTGATTGATACTCGATCAATTATTATTCATTGAGGAAAATGACTTCTAGTGCATCAAGTAAGCCAACTGATCCAGGTTGGAAGTATGGAACTTGTTCAAATCCTCTTAACAAGAATAGGATCGAGTGCATGTTTTGCAAAAACTGTTATAACGTCGGCATCAACAGATTAAAGAAGCATTTAGTCGACATTAAAGGGGATGTGGCGTCATGCATTCTAGTGCTTGCTAAGGTCAGGAGAGAGATACTAGAGAACTTGGAGGGGGTGAAAGCCAAGAAACAGGAGGTGAAAATAACACGAGATGAACTTGTAAGGGCTGTAGATGTTCTTGGAGTTCGACAAGAGGAAGAAGACATGTATATTGAGGTTGGATCTTCTAGTAGGCTAGAACAAGAGGGCCTATGGATGCCTTCTTCCCTTGCCTTGATCTTGAGGTACTACCACGAGAAAGGGGTCAAACAACCTTAGAGACCCATTTTAAGAAGGATGAAAGAGAAAGGGTCATCCAATATGTGGGGAGGTAGATGTTTCAAGCAGATATTTCGTTTAATGCCATTAAGTTGAGTAGCTTCCAAGCTATGTTGGAAGCAGTGGGCCAGTTTGGGCTAGAGTTGAGGGCTCCAACTTCTTATGAGCTTAAATGGCAATACTAATGAATAACTACTTGAAGACCCACACTTATGCATAGGGTGTATATGGTTGCACAATAATGATCGATGGCTGGAAAGATAAGAGGTACATAAGCATCATGAATTTGATGGCGAATTATTCCATTAGTATAATGTTCAAGAGGTCTATTGATGCTTCAGACAAGTCCCATGATACAGAGTTCATTTTTAATTTGGTGGACCGGTGTATAAAAGAGATAGGGGAGGATGAAGTGGTCCAAGTTGTGATCGATATCCATTCAACTACCATAGCGGTCGATAGATTATTGATGGATAAGGGGGCGCGTATTTTCTAGTCTCCTTGTGCAGGACATTGCATAAACCTAATGCTTGAGACCATTGGTAAGAGGAAGACATCCATGTCAACCATTGAAAAGGCAAAGAAAGTCATAGTTTATTTGTACAGTCACGCTCAGGTATACATTTTAGTATTATACTAGTTTCTTTAGTTATTTGTTACTTATTTTGAGTATTTTTAATTCTTTGATTTTATTGACAGTAATTTAGTTAACTTAGAGAACTCTATGTTGGTCAGGTCTTAGCTATGATGAGAAATTTTACTGAGAGCAGAGACTTGGTGAGGCCTAGGGTGACTAGATTTGCCACCTCGTACTTGTCCTTACAATCTTTGAGCAGAAGGAAAAAGTGAGGTCCCTGTCTGTGTCTGAGGATTGGCCCAAGTCCAATTGGTCCAAGAAAGTTGTCGGAAGAGTTATTATGAACATTATTATGGACTCAAGATTTTGGAACAAGGTCCAGTATGCCTTGTTAGTCTTTCACCCTTTGGTAAATGTTCTCTAGATGGTTGATGCTGAGAAGAAACTTGCTATGGGGCATATCTATAAAGCCTTGCAAGATGCAAAGGAAGAAATCAAGAGATCTTTGTGGGATGAAAAGTGGTATGGGGAGTTTTTGAAGATTATTGAAGACAAATGGAACTCCCATCTTGAGATGCCCCTGCACTTAGTAGAATACTACCTTAACCTTGCTCACTTTTACACCGATGTTGAGGTACATAGTAGGCCTGAGTTCATGGATGCTTTCAACCAGTGCAATGTGAAGCTCAACCCTGATCCTGAAGTGCAAGATAAGGCAATGATGGAGTTAGATTTGTATAGGCTCGGTACTGGATCTCTAGGTAAGGAGGTGGCAGTCAGGCAAAGCTACAAGATCCATCTCGATAAGTTTAGAACTTCATTAGTTTCATTTTATAATTTGAGTATTTAATTTCAATTACCCAGATGGCAATATACCTGATATACTAAATTACTACATTTACGATTTTAGATTTACAAGAAATAGGTGCATGGTGGATGGGCCATTGTGGAAGCACCATTCATTTGAGGCAGATGGCCATTAAAATAAAAAATCTTACTTGCTGCTCTTGTGGATGTGAGCACAACTTCAACACCTTTAAAATGGTAATATTACTTATTAACTTAATGTCATACATACTTAATAGACTAGTTAGTACTTAGTAAGTTGGTAACTTAGTGAGTTTTTTCCCCATTAGGTGCATACAAAGAAGAGGAACAGACTAGAGCTAAAATGACTGAACGACCTAGTCTTAGTTTTGTATAATCGGAAGTTGCAAGAGCGTCAGCAACTTCAGCACCTTTAAAATGGTAATATTACGTATTAAGTTAATGTCATACATACTTAGTAGACTAGTTAGTACTTAGTAAGTTAGTAACTAAGTGAGTTCTTTTTCTAGTAGGTGCATACAAAGAAGAGGAACAGACTAGAGCAAAAATGACTGAATGACCTAGTTTTAGTTCAGTATAATCAGAAGTTGCAAGAGCGCCATCAATAGCTGGAGCGCAATCAAAGGGAGGCTATTGAAGCTTTTGATATTGATGACATATGCAAGTGAACGGTTGATGCCAGTGATGATGAAGTTTACCTTGGAGAGGGCTTGACCTGGGGCCAGGTCCATGAGGCTGTTGGGATAGCAATGCCCCCTGCGCGTACCACTCGGGCTCAAACTCAGAGCCAAAGGAAGGGGAAGGAGAAGGCCTAGCAAGGGAAGGCAGTGAAAGGAAGGCAGTGACGAAGAAGAGGTAGAGGGTGATGACATCAAGAGTGGATGATGAAGAGGAAGAAGTAGATTCAGAGGAGACGAGGGATGATGCTCAATATGTTGAGGAGGGCGATGACTTTGATGATGATGGCATGGCAACATCATCATCAGATGCTCCTCATGCTCCAATTGAACACCCTGCGTGGTGGTGCCACTTATGCCATAGAGTTGTTTGGTTGATGACTTGATGTATTTTTTTTTTTGATTTTGCCTTCTTGGCTGTGTATCATTTCCAGTCTAGACTTCTAGCTTCCTACCATGACATTTGGGATTTCAAGCATTTTTATATCTTACAACTTACAAGTTACAAACTTACAATCTCTTTGAGACTTGTATCATCCGTAAATCTGTTACGTGATTGTAGTATTGTATTTGCGCTATTATGTTTTTGTCTATTTCACGATCACAAGGAGTTTGAGGCTCTAAAATAGCCCTAAGAACTCCCTAAGGCTTTAAACCATGCCCTAAGAACTCCCCTGTTTTCTTATTTGTTTGGGGTGGGGGGCGGGGTTTCAATTTTGGTGAGGGCACCTTGTCTTTGGGCAGGGGCTTAGGGGGCCAAGCACCGAAACCGCTTAGGCGGCCGAATTTGTTTTTTTAAACATTGGGGGCTGCCTAGGGGTGTGCCTCATGTCCTGAGCACAATGAAGGTGGGTAGGAGATGTTAGCTGGGTTGGAGTATAGCTTCTACGTATTCTCTTTCTTCAATCATGCAGCTACTTCTTCTTTTATTCAATATGGTTTCATTTACTAAAATGGACTTGTATAATGCACTTAAATGTACGTGTTGCAGTTTTTGAAAGTGCTTTCATGAATCAGGAAAGTAATAAAGGCATAATGGTATGCTCCACAAATTAAAATTCAAATTTAGAAGACAAAGTAGCATGCGTAGAGGGTTGCTAATAATTTTAGGGGAAGTAACGTATATATCTGTTATATTTACCATTATTACGGGATTTCTTCTAAGTTTTCGTTATTACATCTATACCCGTTTTTCACCATCTTAACAATTTTTTTAAAAGAAGATGGAAATGCCATTTTTCGGTTTTCAAGAACCGAAATGGGACTAAATTTGGTTTTTCAAAAATCGATTTTTTGTTCTGTTCACCCTTTTCCTTTGTTTTTGTGGTTTTTCTGGGGGGAGAGAGAGAGAGAGAGGCTCATCCCTTCGATTTCTCGATCAATTTTTCCTTTTGTTTCTTGCTTTGTGGGTAGTGATGTTTGGGTGATGATTTCAGAGTTTGTAGAAGAACTTGCCGAATCCCTACCATATGTGGTTTCTCTCTCATCATAGTCCCTAACCCTATAACGATTAATCTCATGGTACCTATGCCTCCTCTGGGAATGCCTATGGTGTCTCTTCGTGTGATCATGACTACGCTGGCTCCCATGACTTTCTCTCTCTTCATATCTTCTCTTTCTTCTAGCATTGCTATCTCTCCTCTTGCTCTCTTCCGGAATTCTCTCTCTTGTGCAGTCACTTTCTCTCTCATAGATAACCTTCCCTCTACAATACATTTTCTCTCTTCTAAAGGACTCATCTATATTATCCCTTTCTTTATTGGCCTGGTTTTTCAGTCTCAGAGTTCTCAGCCATCACTGTATCAGATTCAATGCCTTCTCTCCCTAGAGAAGCAGATTTCATTGGTACGGGGTCTCTTAGCATCGGCTCCTAAACGCTTGTGACGAGTTTTGGGGACCCAAGAAGAAGAACTGAATCATGGTTCTCTCCATCAAGTTCACGAATTTCTCTCTCTAACATTTCCTTAGGCGTAGATTCTAGGAGCACTAGTGCCTCACTACATGGGTTTCAGTCCCTTCATAACCCAAAACTGAATTATGGGTAACTGATGCATTGAGTTTTCTTTCAATAGCAGGTTTTGTTGGAATGAAGCTATCGTCGTCATTGAGCCAACCATAACAGGGTGCTCTTCATTGCACACCTCCACTTTGTGAATCATTGGTTCTCTCTATGAGACCAATTTCTCGCTCTCCTGCCCCCCCCCAAAGAAACCACAAAAATATGGGAAAATGATTTAAAGAATGGAACAAAAATTCCGTTTTTGAAAACCGAATTTGATCACATTTTGGTTTTTGGAAAACTGAAAATTGGGCATTTTCGTCTTTTTTTAAAAATTATTTGGATGGTAAAAAATAGGTATAGATGTAATAACGGAAAATTGGAGGTAATCCTGTAATCACGGTAAATATAATGGATATAAATGTTATTTTTCCATAATTTTATTCAATTTTCTCAAAAGAATAATTTCATTTAGTAATAACACTTAACTTGCACAGTGTACTGAATGTGTGTTTAGTAGTTTCAAGAAAGTCATTCATGGATTAGGAAACTAAGTAGGTGCCAGGCCTGACCTGAGTGGCCCTCCCTGGGCGTTCGTGCAGGCGGCCTAGGTTGGTGCCCAGGGCTTGTGCCCTCTTTTTGAGAATGAGGGAGCACTTAAGGGTCATTTTTGACCCATGTGTTTTCCATAAAGGCCTCTAGGGGCATTCTAAAACCCCAAAGCAAAAAATTATTGGAATCAAAGTCCCAAATCTATTAATTTTGAGATCTCCGTGAATTGAAAAAAAAAGAAGAGTTTTTTAAGTTTTTTCACTAAATTAAAGAAAAATCTTTAGTTTTGTGTAAACTCCAAATGGACATTTTGAAGTTTTTTTCATTAAAGTTTCTATAATTTGAAGTTTTGAACATGTTTATTCTTAACGTGTGATATGTTTGTATGAAAAAAGTTACTTACAAATGCAAAAAATTGCAAATTTAACATAAAAATATTCATATATGTGCTTTGGACAGCACATTAATGCATATATCTAGATAATTTTCACTGTAGGGGTCAGGGTCGGCTGCCTGGGCACTGGGCATTGGGCATTGTGCACTAGGCGCCAGGCTGGCCGCCTAACAATATTTTGAAACCTTGTCACGTATGTCAAATTCAATTTTAGAAAAAGGGTAGCAATTATGGAGGGTTGTGGTTGGCTACCAAATAAGGCTCCAATCATTTGGGCATTCTTTCTCTCTGCATAATATGGACAGTATTGTATTAATATGGTAAATAAATGCTGTTTTTGTACAAAATTGCATCAGGGCCTACTGTTTGCAACAAATCCTACGACTAAAAGTAAAGAAAAAGAGAGACTGGTTTACATGTCTAAAATGTGTCATCCCTGTAATGAGAACTTTGTGCACATCCTACTGTGATTCATAAACTTCGAGTTCTTTGGCTACTAGGAGTAAAAGAGTAGAAAGGCTTTTTTCTTGTGGGTGGTGGGGGGGGGGATGGTTTTTTTGTTTTTTGTTTTTTTTTTGGTGGGGGGAGAAGAGAGGGAAGGGGTGGATGACAGAAACTGGAGAGGGGGTAAGACAAGGGGGTTTGAATTGGGAAGGTTTGAGAAAGAAGAAAAAAAGGGGGGGGCATGAGAAAGGGAAAGGGTGGATGACAGAAACCCGAGAGGGGTAAGATGAGGGATATTTAGTTGGGATTCCAACCAAAACATCCCTCAGAAACTCCGTGCATTAAGTGGAAGTTACTCAGGCCTATGGGCAACCATCTGCAAGGCCTTGGCCCCTTGTTTTGCTAGTCCGCCAGCTTTCTTATTGGCCTCTGGCCATGGATTTATGAACGTGATAAACACTATTTGATCGAAGATGGGTTGGAGCCTCCATGGCGCCGTAGATGAGCCTGAAGCCCAAAGAGACTACTTTTTTGGATTCATCTTCCATCAAAATCGTAGACCCTATCAGAAAGTTTCAGTCGTTGTAGTAGAGCATGGGGTTGGCCTTGTTAAAATTTGTCACACCAATTGGGCCTGAGAAAATGAGTAAAACATGCGGTTGATTGTTGTGAAACACATATCCTTGCTGGACCATGGTTGCTGAGAGAGCAACTGTCAAAGTTTGATTTGATGACCCCTGGTCCCTGGGGAGACTAACAAACCACTCATGTGGCACACATAGATTTTGATGCAAAGTAGTTGCCCAGCTGTTTAGGAAATCCTCCATAAAGAAAAGAGCAAGCTCCTTAGTGTTTCTCGTCGAGAAACTAACTTTGGCCACAATCTGATCAATGATTTTCACCACCCTAGTCACCCGACGCTCGAACTCTATTGTTCTGTTCTATCCAAGTGCACCTTGTAGTAGCCACCACCGTGGCTCTCCACATGAAGGGGCTTGAAAGCTTGAAGCAGCGAAGAAAGTTGCCCACTGTGCTTGGCACTGCCCACTGCCATCTGAATTTTTTCAGTAATGCAGACCCGATCTTATGGGCCTCCGGGCAGTCTACGGTAGGTGGTCATTTTTTTGCCATCTTCCTTGCACATGACATACATATTTGGTAAAGGGATGCCTCTTCTTTGGAATTGATCCCTCTTCAAGACCATTTTGGAAAGCGCAACCCAATTGAATGCCTGAATTTTTGGCTGTAACAGGGCAGTCACACGTTGTTGGTAACCAGGGGCAAGGGCAAGGGTTGAGATGTGATTTGCTTGTATATGGAGGTCAACATGGAAAGCCTACTTGGCAGGGGAGTCCATGTCAGCTTATATCTACCCAAGGCTGTGGTGAAAACGTGGTTGAGTGTCACCAACAGCGAGATCATATCGTTGATCTCCTCATCCATGAGATGCCTCTGAAATTTGGGAGACCAAGTCAGCTGATCTCCTAAGAATTCGTCTGACTCTGCCACCTTAGCCCCCTTGTTTTGTGCCATTGAGAATAATCTGGTGTACTGTGGTTCCAAAGTAGAATCCCTATCCATAAGTTTTTCCAAATGCTGACTCTGTTCCCCCCTTAAATCTGGTGTTAGCAACAAAACCCAGATGTTCTAAAAGAATGCTCTTCCGGTCACCAGATTCATTCACTCTCCTCACACCCCCCCCTGGCATCCCCCCAAAATTGTTCAATCATATCCGTTTAAGGCCACGTTCTGCCATTTATGTCCTTCTTAGGCCATGAATCTCCACCACTTTCCAATGAGGGCAGTGTTGACCCCTTTGAGTTCTCTTGTGCTCAAACCCCCTTCTTTCTTTGGTTTTCATGCCTGGTCCCAATTGGCCAGGTGAAACTTGTGTTCACCACTTGACCCAAACCTCAGAAAATTCCTCGTCATGCATTCAAAGCAGTTGACCAGTGTGATGAACATTCTAAACATCAACATATGGAAGCAGTTGACCACTGTGATGAACATTCTAAACATCGACATATGGAAGATAGGTTTATTAGAGAGGGTGGCCTTGATAAGTGTTATTCTGCCCCTGAAAGAGAAAAATCTAGATTCCCATGTAGCCAGTATTCATTGAATCTTTTGACCACTGGGTTCCAAAGGGCCTTTCGTGGTTTGCCCGTGCAAAGGGCAAGTCCAAGTATTTAGCGGGTAGTAAGCCTAAACCACATCCCAACTTCCGAGCAAGCTCTCTTTCGTCCTCGGGTGTGACAACTCAATGCCCATTCGCTTTGGTTTTCTGCATGTTGATAGCGGGTAGTAAGCTTAAACCACATCCTAACTTCCGAGCAAGTTCTCTTTCGTCCTCGGGTGTGACAACTCATTACCCATTCACTTGGGTTTTCTGCATGTTGAGCTTGAACCCTGTGGAGACCTTGAATGATTTCAGGAATGGTCACAAGTTGTTGTGGTACAGCCTCACAAAAGGTTAAAATATCCTTGGGTATGCTGAAGGTAGGAGATGGACGGTCCCCACCTACTTGCTTTAAAACCTTGAAGCCAGTTATGGTGTACCAAGAGAAATCGATTTCCAAAAATTTCACCCGTAATAACAAATAAGAAAGGTGATAAAAGGTCTCTTGGGCAGAGGCATTTAGAGGCTGTGAAGAATCCTTTAGGGGACCATTGATAAGCATCGAG